CACAAGAGCGAGTTTCAAATCCAAACAGGAACCGGACCAACAGAACGACAGTCCAGTCACACAAACTGGGCGTTGGCGGTGTTTTACCGTTGGTGGCGCTATCCGCCTACGTGTACGAATGAAGCCCATCCTCTCCGCGCGTGTTAACGTGGCAGCTCAAATCTAGTTTCACGGAAAAATGTCTCGTTGACACGGTGACTGGAACTTGTGGGGGGCTTTTTGAAAGCTTCCCACTTTAAGCTGGGGGCTTGTATGCGGAACTGGAGGTACGGGGCCCACAGGGAAAAGAGAACTGCTGCTGGCATCTGTAATGGTTGCCGTGGAGTGTGAGGATGAAGCAGGCCTTCACAGGCCTCCAGGCCTGTCCCTGAATTATGTCCGCATTAGGTCACTGCGTGAGGTCTGAGGAAGCAATAGGCAGTGAGGCAGTTCAGGAACAATCGGGCAAGTGTTTGGTCGGTATTCCTTTTCCCTCAAATCCTTTAATTTTCTCCTCCCTGACGAAAAAAAAAAACCCTTCTCTTCCTCTTCCCCCCCACCTCCTTTCGTCTCATTCAGGCTCCTGTCAGCTTTTCCAGCCCCAGAGCAATGCCTCAGACACAGAGGATGCAGGGGAACAAAGGCTCCTTGTTCTTTTCTTAGCTCTCCGGGCCTCTGTGACAAAAACCGCGATCTTGGGTGTCAGAGGGCTTCCTTCCAAACAGCAACAGGTCTTCCTTTAAAAGGGGCTTCTGACTCTGGGCTGATGAAGTCACAGCGTTCGTGTACTTTGGGCAGGTCAACCAGATTTAAGAGACCGAGCAGGAGCTGTACAACCTCCCCCAGGCAAACTACAACCACTCCAACATTTTACAGCGGCCAGAGAGGGACCAGGATCGGTCAAGATACGAGATCTGGTGGGGAAATCGATCCGAACATATTGACAGCCACATGCCTGACATCGATCTTCATGAACTGCACCCTGTTGCAAAGTGGCAGCTATCATTTAGGTTGTGGGTCGCTCTTGCAACACTTTCTCTTCATATAGTTTCATGCATCATTGGAAAGGGTTGCCACAACCACGCTGGTTAGTCTCTTTTGGAACTCGGATGAAGAGAGGAGATGAACTCAATCCGGTTTGTTCGTGTGCATTAGTTGTGCGTTATTACAGCTGCCTTAAAGGAAACGGCAGTATTTGTTGTGTGGCAATAACGATGCCGTGTCAGTAAGGATGACCCCATTACTGTTGGTGAGGTGGCTCAGGATCTGCGCCTGTGGCTGGAAGGTTGCCGGTTCGTATCCCACGGCCAGCAGAGGAATCCTACTCCGTTGGGCCCCTGAGCAAGGCCCTTCACCCCAACTGGTCCAGGGGCGCCATATAAATGGCTGAGCCCGCGCTCTGACCCCCAGCTTCTCTCCCTGTCTGTGTGTGGAGAGCAAGCTGGGGTCTGCGAAAAAGAAATTCCTATTGCAAGAAATTGTATAGGGCTGATAAAGTGATCTTATATATCATCTCCCGATGGTCTGAGCAATCTATCTGGATGCTGATCTAGCCTTTCTGACCATCCTTCTGGTTGGAATATGTCATTTGAACATCATGGTACTGCAGGTTGCTACCGCTGTATTTACAGTACAAGCACAAAAAACCACCCCACTGGTTGCTGCAGAGAAGAGCACGATTTCTCAATCGATTACCATCATGGCCTGGAAAGAAGAGAGCACCCCCTACTGGTTCCCCAACATACTGTAGACCAGTAGGTGGCAGGATGTTAAACGCACTGGATTTATAAAAAAAAAAAGCCACAACAAGAAGACAGCACCCACCTTGTCACCAAGCAAACATAGGGGTCTTGTGATTTGTTTGAAGACAAAGAGCACTCACTCCAGTAATGAAAGATGAAAATCAACAGCAGGAAGGGCAGTTTGTGCCTGCTGTTGGCAGGCTTACTGCAGTACGTGTGTGAATGAGGCCTCCGTGACCGAATGTGCCTTCCATTCGGTCTCTCTCCACTTCTCAGAATGGGGCTCGTTGCCCACGGTAACCCTGTTCGTCCACAGCGATTTCCAAGGACCTGCCAAATCTCCGAGCACCTTTTATGTAAGAGACCCTAATGCCAACCGCAGCACGGTCCCCGAGCCCTAAGGATCTCAGCCTCTGTTTTTAAAGCTTTTCCTTAAACTTCCACTCTCGACACATTTTAAAGGTCATAGATTCTTTTAA